TATAATAGAACCTTATGGAACAGCCATCTTCTACGTATTTTTTATAGGAGAAAACTCACAGATAAAAATGACTCTATGCTGGGGAACATGAGAGTTCATGGACGCACCTTAGATTGCTATGATTCTACTACACGTGAGAGAAATCGTAAAGAACAAGCTCCGCTAGGAAAGACTAGTTCCAAACTCTCAGAAAAACCCTTGCCAGCCAAGGTTACTTACTAAGCGAGACTTGCTAAACGAGTTACAAACATACGTACGAGCGACAGCAGCGATGACGGCTGCGGTAAGTGCGGGTCGCGGAATCGTAGCATTGTGAGGAACAGATCTCAAGCGCTACAACACTCGGCAGACGTGGATCGCAGCTCGTTCCATCTCGCTCCACACGCGTAAAATGGAAGGCAGAGGCGCCGAAGTATATTGGCGCTGGCGTGTATATCTGCAGCCAGCCTTTTCTATTGTACACCAACATGCTCTCTAGCTACGAAACATTCGACTCCGCTCGCTCCTCGCCCTACCCCTATGCGATGCTCAACGACCTCAACGAGAGACGACCCGCGACGGCCATCCTCGCTAGCCCCGCACGCGCTATCACTAGGCAATGATGTCCTAGAGGAGCATCGCAATATACCAGCGAGGGCCGCACGAGTATACACTTTAATATAAGCTCTATTACTACTATTTGTTCGTATACCTCTCTACCTACCGCGAAAATTACTACGTGCAAAACCTAGCTAGCCTATGCTAGACCGCGATATTACTCCTTTTCCTAAACCCTTTTATACGCTCCGCCGCTTCTAGCCTATAATTAGAGGATAGAGTGCGGATTATCAGCTTTTATCCTCCTCGTTCACCAACAGTAGCGACTAAAAGCGGCTGATGGATAGTGCGCGCCATACTCACTCCTTACTATTATCTAAAGATAAAATGCAGCAAATACGTTGTATATAACTGCTACTATTATCTAGTTTAGCACGCTAATAATAGTAACCCTTATAATACCCGCCAGACCGTCTTCTTCCTTTAGCGCCATGTTACTACTCAAGACTAGCCCCTTCTCTAAGCTCACTTCTAACCACGTTCTAGAGATATGCGAGCATCTTTCCGTTATAGACTTATACTACCTTGCGCTAACTAGCCATAAAACCATAGCCGCTCTCTACAAACTGTATAAGCATATCTAGCTTATATTATCTAGCTTAGCCTAGGGCTTCTATCTGCTTAAAAGCATAGCTAACCCTTAAACACCCTTCTATTCCGTCGCTCTTATAAGCCTGCGAATCGACGGGGCTAGCCCTAAGGACCTGTCTTCTCTACTAAGAGGTTCTAAGGGTAGTAAAACTATGAAGGCCACCCTAGAATAGTATTTACTAAAACATCTGCTATCTAACGCCGCCTAGGGTATAAAAGATATAGTTAATAAGGCGTATAGCGT